TTTTTTATTTCCTCAATTCATTTATTGTTACCCAATATTAAGATATTTGATTACAATAGATTAAAGAGTCAAGATTATCATTTATGAAAACACCCTTTTTGAGTTATAAATATATATGATCATTATTATGTTGAAATTTATAAGCTTTCCTCTTTTATAAGAAAAATATTAATATATATTGCAAATTAAATGACAATAAAATAAATAATTTCTAGTTAATCAGGTATACCATCGCTTCTATAATGATGAATTTAGAGTACAAATAAAATCTACTAGTGGAGATGAATTAAGATTATTCTCTGTAATCGAAATAGCCCATGATAGTACCATTAGAAAATTTGTCAATTTTTGATGTTGATAACGAGTGTTAGATTGCTTTGCCTTGTTGCATTAAAAAAAGGCATCTTTAATGAACTATCCTGCACAGTTCTTTAAGTGATTTTTACATAAAATGTCACCTTATTCAGTTAAGAACAAAGGTTCTCCACATTAATGATACCAAACTCTATTTTCATTAGATTTACATACGCAGCTAGAAGGGCAGGAGCATGTTAAAAGTATAATTATTCCCTTATTAAATCCTCCTTTTGGTACACTAGAAGGATCATAAGATATTTGTTTTAAAAAAGTAGAATCTGAAATATTTAGTTAAATATTCTAAAGAGATGGTAATAAATGATTAATTTACTATTATAATTGCTGATTTTCATAATGTTTTTATTACAATTATTACTTATTGGATATGAATATTTCTTCCAATTTTTATTTTTCCTTTATGTTTTAAATACTTTAATTCTTCAATTCATCAACTAATTTTTACTATAATTACTGATTTTCTTAATTTTTTTATTACAATTATTAATTATTGGATTTGATTATTTCTTCCAATTTTTATTTTTCCTTCATGTTTTAAATACTTTAATTCTTCAATTCATCAACTAATTTTTACTATAATTATTGATTTTCCTAATTTTGTTATTATAATTAATAATCTTTGGATTTTATTGTATTTTTTAATTCTTGATTTTTAGTTTTCTCTTTTTCATAAAATAATTAATATTGATTACTTTACTTTTCTATCTCTATATGTAAATATTCCTAATTCTTTTTAATTTCATTTTCTATAGATGACGACATTATAAATGTTATTTAGTTAGTGAATTAATTTCTTAATGATTCATTGTGGATATCAGGCAATGACAACTATGGTAACGAGTTTCTTAAATAAAAATCACTTTATTATTCTGATTATATTTGTAATCTTTAATTAGAAAGTTATTTAATATCGTTAATTGTTTAGCCGAGGAAGTCACTTATTTTATTGAATGAAGACTAATGAATAATCCAAAATAATACATTTATAATATTTTATTGCTACCAATTAACCATTTCGACTTTATCTAGTTATTCTTAATCTTAGTGCATTTGAATGATGAATTAAATTATTTATTTTTTTTCAAAAATATTGTATTTCTATTAAAATGAAGATATTTAAGTAATAATGCATCATAAAAAATTACTAAAATATTATCATTAATTTCAATTTGTTAACTTTTTACTATAACTTAGTCTTAAATATTTATTCCAAAGTTATTACTCAATCTATCCTAACTTTGAGATGTATTATTTTCTCGTTTATTACCTTATATAATTTTATGAGTATATATTCAAAGACATCAATTTAATAGTTAATGGCTCTAATTTTTTGATTTAAAGTAAGGAATCTATTATTAGTTCATGGGTCAATTTAATAAGGAATGAGTTTATAATAACTATCACTTTTATGTTATTAAACTGACCATTTATAAGCTGGAATCAGAAAAAATAATGCTGTAATTTCAGATTAATAATCAAATATAGTTATCAAATTATCTATTACAATCTCGGTTTTTATGATAATAAGTTTTTGAGTTTATATTCTATTTGTTTACTTATTTCTAACACTATATAAATTTTTTTTAATCTTATTCTTTTCATAACAATCTTATTCAAACAACTTAACCTTTTGATCTATCATTAACACTTCAAATCCTTTTCATAAATCATATTTTTGATTTTGAATTTAGATTTAAATTTTAAAGAATATCATAACTTAAATTTTTTAATTTATTTAGACTTATATGAGGAAATTCAATATGATTTTGAATTATTAAAGGTCTAAATTAAAAAAATTATTTTTGTTGAACAATTTGTTGGTTGCTACCTCATCTAAATATACGAAATTGAAATTTTCTTTGAGAAGCTGAAATATTTTATAGAATAATTTTTATGAAAGTGTAATCATTTCTAAATTCTTACATCTCTTGTCTTTTTTATGCTGGAAGTCTGTAAGAAGCACCACAATACTTCTTCAAAAATTCTATAAAATAGTTCTTGCTCACAGCAATTTAATTAATCCCAAACTATCTCAAGAAAGGTTGATAAATATTGAATGAAAATTCTAATTCTTTTATAACCCCATCCTTAAAGAATTTTTTAATCCATAGGTTTGGGGTTGGGTTTGGGTTTGGGTTTGGGTTTGGGTTTGGGGTTGGGTTTGGGTTTTGGGTTTGGGTT